TTTATAATAAAGTGCTTAGATTTTCATGATCGTTATTGTTGCACATATATGAGTACTTTTTTGCATATAAAAAATCTCAATATAAAGAAATAATTTATACTTTTATAATTTCTGTTATATTTTCAAATAGAAGTAATCGCGCCGGTAAGCGTTTCAGTTGACAGAACTCTACGACTATGCAATGTATTGTCTAATGTACCTTATATTTTTCTTCATCTTTTTAACATTCGCATTACATTGTCTTTTACATTGTACACTTTTTGTCTCAGTATATTTAATTTTTTTCTTTGCACTTTCAGCGAACGCTGAACAGTTTTTAAAAAGTTTTATGCATTTTTAAAGTAAATAATTCGTAAATGAGCGATTTTTCCCGTGGATAATTTGATGTTTCCTTCAAAGACTATAATCCAGCAAATTGGCAAGCATTTAATTTCGCGTTCGCCATTTCTACAAAGTTCAATTACGATTGATCGACGTCTTATTGCCGTATCTTTCTCCCCCTTCCCGTCTTCTGTATTTTGCTATGATTGCCGACGAGATGCGCATATAGAAGTCGTAGTCTCTCGCAAGAAATATATGTTGAAGTTAGATAAAACTACGATGGGACGCGCGAGCACCATCAGCGAATCGGTCGAAGCAGGTCTACGTTTCATCGGCATGTGGCCGCGTTGTATAAACGCAAATATTAATTGGTGGACTTACATCGCGTCAGTGGCTGTGGTGCAGTATTTCCAATATTCGTATATCCTGGCGCATTTCGACATCAGCGATCTCTCGGTTATCATAGACGGTCTAAGCATCACGTTGGGTTATAGCCTGTCGTTTCTCAAACTGATCAATCTCTGGTTCAATCGTCGGTAAAGTATTATCTTTAATGCTCCGCGGATGAGCATAAATCACGTTTGCCGTGAAAATCTTTTCGACTTCCTTTCTATCTTGCTAGAAACACGGCACTGAATGTTCAAAACGTTCCGTAGAAAGCTACATATCATTCTGGATACGATAAATAAGGATTGGATCGACGGGATCGCAATTCATTCAGACGTATCCACGATGATCAGGCACGCCGATCTATCTCGTCAATGCTCCAACGTGATGATTACGACAAATGCGCTGTCCGTGTTCTTTTATACGATCGGTGGGCCGATACTTCGATCGGTGATTCATAAGAACGATCAGGAAACTACGGCTCGCGAGTTACCCATTAAAATGGAATTTCCTTTTAATGTTGACAACTCTCCGATCTTCGAATTGATACTAGTAATCCAATTGTTTCATGATCTATCGGTAGCTTGTATCATCGCTATGCTAAACGCTTTGCTTGTCACATTGGTAAGTTTCGACTATACTTTATATGTGTAATAATTCGAAGATTGTCAAAATCAATTTCGTCGGATTCACATGGAAAAAGACGAATAATTGTTTCTGTATTACATCCTTGTATTCAATAAGAAAAAACGATATATATGCATGTATGCTATCTAATTTTTTTTTTTTTGCTTTGTGCACTCGTGCATTGGTCGAAATTAATGTTTATTTATCTCTTCTTGTACTTTTGTTACAGTTTGTGATTTTATTTTTATGATATACATATTATGATTCTACGTTGCACTTATTTATTAGTGTTTTTTTCAGTGATTTTTTAAAAGCGAATCTTGTGTTACATACTCCAGTCTCATATTTTTAAATATGAGTTTGTGCTTTCAGATTTTTGGAAAAAATAGTATGCACTACTTTAAAGTGTCTATAAAATTAAACGTTCTAGGTACTGCATATAAGCGGTCAGATTGATATCATGCGGCAAGGCTTGCTAAAAATTTCCTCCAAGAATCACGCATCTCTGACCGCTATTAAAGTTTTGATTAATAGACATCAAAGAATCATCGATCTGTCAGACAATGTTGAAGATCTCTTCTCGAACATTGCATTACTCCAGTTCATTTGGAATACTTTGGTCATTTGTTGTATAGGCTTCTTGATTGTAATAGTGAGTTATGATTTTATATATATATATATATATATATTTTTTATTCAAGGTTTCAAGGTATACCAGTATGGGTGGGACAAAAATTATATACGAGATATGAGAAGGCTAACAAGCACAAAAGAAATGCTTTTGGGAGTTACTTTATATATATATTTTTTTTTTATATATTCAAGGTATACCAGTATGGGTGGGACAAAAATTATATACGAGATATGAGAAGGCTAACAAGCACAAAAGAAATGCTTTTATTGCTGGGGGAGTTACTGCATCGGTAAGTTTATTATATAAATACTTTTTATAATCATGGAAGAGAGAGAGAGGGGGAAGGAGAGGGAGAGAGAGAGAAGGGGGGAGGGAGAGAGAGAGAGAGAATCAGTTTCAATGTTTGCAAAATATTAATTAATCATGTGTCTACAAATTACATGATTTTCATAATTAATAAGCATTGCTTTATTACAGCAAGGCATTATTCTAAATATTATGTTCCTCTTATTCTTTGAAAAATCTTTGGAAGTTCTATAAAATATGAGTAATTCATCGCGTGAATTCTATTTTTCTTTTCTTTTTATTATTAAAAGAAGAAGAATAAAAATTGTTTTTTGTTGATTTGTTATCTGTTCTAATATAAGTAGGAACTCCATTTGCTATTCGTGATAACATCAAGGTATATTTTATCCATATATTTTATACAGAGAAAATGGATAATACAATAATTGTATATAGCGTTAACAAAACAGCGCGTTCTCGCTGGAATAATTGTCGGAAGAAATTTATCACGGGACGCGTATTCAGGCATATGGAACATAATTGTTTTATGTTTCATGTACATTTCGAAAATACTCTATAACTGTGATGCATGTACTATAACAGTATAATCACGAATCTAATTGATTTCATCTTAGTAATTGTATCACAACTACTTGCCTAAATCTTTAACGACTTGGCACAACGTAGACGTTCATCAGCAATTTCTGTGTGAGCAGAAAATTGAATTGAAAATTCACATTGGAAAAACCGATACCTGTTGATAAGAAATCAATATTTTTACGTGATGTAATTTCTCTTAAAAAGTTTGCTTCCGATTTTATCTTACTTTCATCGAATTGCAAGCGAATCTTGCACTGGTAGTCATTAAAATATCATTGTAGCGTCTAAAGAGTAATAGTCGACAGGTTGTCAAAGCTTACACTAATGTATAATCGAGACATTTATGGTTAAGCATCGTTTGATCTTGATCAATCATTTGTCCCGCTTGTCTATAGTAGTCTCGTCGCAAAGAGAAAGAAACCGAAAGAGTAGCACAAGTTTCTAACGTCCATTATATTCTTCCGTGCTTTTTTGCAACTATCTTCTTCATCGCCCGCATTCGTGTTATTGCTGGCTTAAGCCTCCTTTGGGTTGGAAACACAAAGATTGCATCTTTAAGCTATATATGGGCTATTGAAGTATCTATTGCTTCACGTGAAACTCTTCGCTTCGAGTCACAGCCCTGATAGAAATATTAATTTTTCGGTGCATACGCTAGTGTTAACGGTGGCAGCGGTAATTATGGATCGACTTCGTTTGTCGCGATGACAGCTTCATCTGTCAGTACGCCATCGTTATATAGATCTTCGAGGACGTCGATCAGTCGTTGCTCTGTGAGAGGATCACCGAGCGCGACGTCCACCGATCCGATACAAAGTAAAAGCGCCAGTAACTGAGACTTTCTGTAGTCCTTGTCAAGATCCTCTCTAGTATAACCCAAGTCCTTGGGAATATTTAGGCCAAGACGCGAGCATGTCCAATTCAGCTTGTTCCAGTATGTGTTGAGAAGTGATTCAGTGTGTTTGCGGCGTAACTCAGTGGGCACTGAACTCACCAACAACAATGCGACATCGTTCGTCGGTCGACTGTAAGTAACCATCTGCCAATCGAGAATGTAGCATTCCGCACTTCCGCAAGTATCCCTGAAGAGTAGATTATTGCTCCAGAAGTCAGTGTGGGTTATCAACGCCAACGGACCCTCCGGAGCAAGAAGAGCCGAGATTATGTCTTTAGTGCGGGGTCGTAGAACTAGCAAAGTCTCGAGGACCGCTTCTAGTCCCGGTCTGCTTTCTAGAAAGTGCGCCAGCTGCGGTAAACCGCGCTCCACCAGTTGTTGATATGAATCTGTTGCTTTCGCCGTTTGGAAAAGAAACGGGTAACGCTCGGATAGAGATTCCCCGTCTACGACTTTTATTGATAGGGAATGAGCGTGTATGCGGGCAATGGCATCCAATGCAACCGTCGCTTGATCCAACGTTAGCCCCTCCGAGAACTTGACACTCTCGAAACGCGAAGCGCCCAAATCGTCCAACACTAGTATTGATTCCGGTGGCACCGGGCTGTCGTCAGTTCCGCTTGCAGGACTGTAATGAGCGTGATAGCATTCCGGAACCGGTAGTATAATCGGTTCCTCTGGGTTCGGTCCTAGCTGTCTTCGATTGAACTCCTTTAAATCTGGCATTACCTGACGTACAAGTGCGCGATATCAAGAATACATCAAACGGAAAAAAAAGATTCCATCTTTTTGTCACTTACCTGTGTATAAAACTTAATCTCTCGGAGATCGAATTGACCTTCCGTTACGAAAAAGCGGCTAAATGGATCTCTAGGGAGTTGCTTTATGATAATGGACAATCTGCGCTTATCCGACGGTTTATCCGTTGGATCCGTCGTCGATGCTAACAAATAGTTCCCTGTAACGCTGGTAATAGCGCTCAGCACGCTCTCGCTGGTCGTGCATCCGGGGCTTACATTAAACTTTAAGATTTCGACCTGAAGAAATCGTTACGGCGATCAATAATGCTCAAATTGAATGTTAACGCATCAATTATATCTAAGATTTATCGAAATTATATCTAGATTGCATCGTTATGTCATATATCATACATTACGTCTACATGACTAACCGCTCTCCCGTCGTGGTACTTCGACAATATGCTCTCGAGCCACTCCTTTTGAACCTCCCAATCCGAGACAATTTGCTCCTCCCCGCACGAAGTATCGGTTTCGTCGTCCAAGTCGGACATGACTTCCTCCTAGCTCGTTGTCCCTTAGCAGGTTTCTGCTATTTGTCCTTTGCAATTTCCTTTGCAATTAGCACGGCTCGGTGATGCTCGGGCGTTTCTTCACTCAGCCAACTGATCTGGCCTCTCAGCCAGCGTTAACAAGGCATGTGCGCTGCCGAATGACGATATCCCACCAATGTGCAGCGGACTATATTATATATACATCTACTCAATTACTTTACGTACACATACGCGTACGTGTCTGTCACACCGTGAAATCACCGTCACTGAATGAAATACTCCTCGTTACGTGTCGCTGCCTCTTCCCGGTTACGTTCGCCGCCGCCGATCCTGCGCCGATTCGCGACGGACTGGCATAGTTCGACGACCCAGCATGAGAGAGGAGTGCGGCTACCTTGATTCGACACGCCCTCGGAGCCGCTTTTTCCTAGATCTAGGCGCCTTGAGCGCGCGTTACTTAATTGACGCGGTGCGACGTGGACCTCAAGCTACTGGCCGACGCGACGCATGTTCCATTGTCGCTTACCTCAGGCTTGCCGCCGCTGCAGGGTGGGATGAAGAGGAGATAACGACATGCGCGCATGCCTACTCCCGATCAATATCCTCTTCCTTCTGCCCCTCCCGGATCTCCTCTTTATCCGCGTGTCTCTACGCGTCGCTCCGTTCCGGAATTTGTCAGGAAGTCTGAAAATCCGTGCGCCTTTCCCTGCATTCGCGCTATCATCGGCTATGTCGATGATTGACAACACCATTGTTCTATTTCTATCCAATTATAAGAGACATGGCAAGCGGGGAAATGTATACGACGTATGGAAATGCATCGCGCATATAATGATGGCTTAGTTTTCTGCTTACGCTCTGTAGCTCACTGATAAATGAAAATCTAAAACCGAAACGTCAACGAACTAACAAGGAACATTCGGCAACGCGCTAATTCAAAAAAATCTGAAACTTTGCATAATTATAGAGTAGTAGTCCCTAATAACGAAACGATTTTTTGTTGGTGCTAAAAATCGGTTTCAGGGGTGAAAACAACCCCTTAGAAAAAATCGGTTTTTACATTCCGAAGCGAATATTATTGAAACAAAAAGAAATATGAAAAAATTGTTTAAACAAAAGTTTAATGGTTTCAAATGTACTTTACAATGGCGTATCGCTTTGGAATGTAAAAACCGATTTTTTCTAAGGGGTTGTTTTCACCCCTGAAACCGATTTTTAGCACCAACAAAAAATCGTTTCGTTATTAGAGACTACTACTCTATAATTATGCAAAGTTTCAGATTTTTTTGAATTTTTGCGTTGCCGAATGTTCCTTGTAAGACACATCGAAAAATTAATTTAGATATTGTTACTTCTAAATATAATGATAAGATTAGTTATCGTTCTGATGTAGATAAGACCGGATATATTATGTCATAAATGATCCGTTTAAATTGATAACATTTTTTTTTGTCGATAATAAGATTCGTAGTTTTATCGAATAATATTGAGTTAAACTTTTATCATCGGATTTCCTTACGTCGTAAAATTACATCGTGGCCTTCGATGTATCTAATTGCTTCTATTTATATTACTTAACGGGTGTCGGCTACATTATTTACAGCACAAGAGGGAAGGAAGCCTTAAAGACATTAACAATATTATCTCTACATAAATATTATACTTTGATCGTAATTTTTTGTTGTCGTGACAAGCAACGCGTTATAAAGATAAAAGTTTTCTCAACAAGGAAAGACACTTATAATTGATCGCTATAATTTTCCGCAGGTTTTAGTATCACCAATATTGGCAGGATTAGCCGTGGGTATCGGTGTACCCATTTTATTGTTTTACGTTTACGGAGTGGTTCCGGTGTCGCTCTGCCGAAGCGGAGGTTGCGGTGTCTCCACGAGTGGTACCGGAGTACGTTTCGATTTTGATGACGAAAACGAGCTGATGGGAGCTTTAGGCGTGCGCAACGGCGGAGGTAAGCACGTAATATTTGTCCATACACGTGTCGTCCAATTAAATCTTTAGCCACGTGCATCACTATACTTCTTGTCGAGACCAAATTATCGGATCCCATTTACAAATTGCTGTAATGTTGCAGATGCGGCATCGATAGACGTCGCAAGTCATCGCGGTGGCAATCCTTCGATAGGGGAAGCCTCGCTTTCATTAGGTAGCGGCAGTCAGTTGGAGAAATTGGGTCGGGAAAATGATCGCGAAAGCGCCAGCAATGTAGCCCTCGCTGGCACTAGTCTTGCGGGGAGTATAGCTTCCAGCGTACTTCCTGGAGGTCAAAGGTATATTATTCTTCTCTCATGCGCGGATTGTGATAATGTGTCTTTTTCTTTCTGTAATATAATATGTTACACACAATCTGATTACACATACAGGTTGGAAGTTCAGGCTGATGTCACGTCTACGCAACGCTTTAGTTCATGTAGCGAGACCGCTTCCGCGGCTACTAGTTTATCAGAAAAATCCGTAAACGCTTCCATCGCTCTAGATGATGGCGCGGCCTCCACAAGAGCTTTGGCTGGTTCAGTTCTTAACTTTAAGGTTTATTTATACTTCATTTTCGTATATTAAATTTGATTAAAAAAAATTAAGGTAATTTCTAACTGGCACTATATTTTTATTATCGTCTCTCTTTTACACGTATATATAGATCGATAGCAGTTCGATCAGTGGTGGCAGAAGCACAGAAGGAGAACAGGCGGCCAACTCTACTAACGGCGGTCATATGGACTCTGCTGGACAAGCTACTTCTTTAAGCTCGTTAGAAGAAGTGGCACCTGGTTTAGCAAAACGCACTCGTCGTAAACTCACATTTGATCGTCAATGCAGCGATTCAAGTAGCTGGACCATGTGCGGGGAGGACGGTGGTTCAGAACGAGTACGATTCGATGATCACGTCAGTGTAATCGAAGCGGATCAAGAGAGAGTGGTAGGTGGCAAATTGGAAGGTTGCGGAATGAATAATCGCTCAACGGGAGGCCGTAAGAGAAACAAAGATTCAGAATCAGAAACGGATTCTCAAAAGATATCCAAGTACGAATCATGAAACTAATTATCAAAACTCGTGAAATTATTGCGTTCATTTGTTAATAACGTGTTTGTTTAGGAATTTGAACGGTGAGTTAAACGTCGAGAGCCCTGTAGAAGACACTCCGCGGGAGCGCGTCAACGTGGCTACTTTAAGAAACGTATTTTTTCACACTTCAGCGGTATCTACAGATCGCGAGAAACGATTGTCTGTTATAGAGGAACCGACACCAACTGTGTCGCAGATTTCTGGCAATCGAATATTCACGCCTTATGACGAAGGGCAAAGCCTTACTAGTACGGACGAAAGCTTGCATTGCTAAAATATTTAAGACTGAGCCTGTGGGTGTCATGATATGCACGTGTTTCTCAAAACGTCATGACATATGTATAGATGCGTATATACATTGTTGAGTGTGTATATATGTATTAAATTACATAATACTGTATAATGCGCTGAATGAGCGCGATAATTGTACATAACGACGTACACAATATGCATATACTTTGAATATTACGAGGGAAGAAATAAAAGTAGGATAAAGTAATTTTAGTAATCGTGTGCATTTGCGCTGTGATTATACATATATTGAAAATTTATGAGCATACTATATATAAATATATATGTATACGTACTGGCCTCCAATTCGTTATAAACAATGAAAGAAAAGGATCAAATATACAAAATTTTTTTCTCGCAGATTGATATTTTATAAATACGTTTTAGATTCCCCAGGCTATTAAGAGCTCACGTGGATAATAGTGTGTATAAGTTTCAAGAAAAAAAAATTTTTCTGAGACTAAATGATTATGTTCAGGACAAATTTTACTTGGTATGATACTATGTTCTTAAATTAAATCTCGAATCTGAGATCCATTTTTAATATCTCTCGTAATCCGCTAAAGAAGCGTAAGTTAGAAAAATATCGGAACGAAGTCGCTGAATCGGGAATTCGGATATTGTAACAAGTAAAATTTGTGCCCTGCATACAACCATTTAGCTTCAAAAAAATAATTTTCCTTGACACTTGCGCGTTTGACTCTTAATAGCCTCGGGGAATTTAAATTGTGTTTCTAACTGAGAGCCTTATCAATTCTTTAATTGATATTTTATGTATGGAGATATATAACAGAAAAAAAATAATTCTGTTACTTATACGTAGATTATTCAACTTAGATTATTCCCAAATATTATCAAAATCCGGTTTGTAACGAGCGGGCGGACAATACAAACTAGGAAAAAAAAGCTACACAAAGATGAAAGTTAATGTCGCGGATTATCGCTGCATTTTATAAATCGAATACTGCTCATTATGTCTTTAAGTATTACATGTTCTTGTTTAATCTATCGGCCAATATACATATAAGAATATTTGAATATGCATATTTCACAGAAAACCTGTCTGTCCTTGCTGTATAAAAATATATGTAATATGACAAATAGCCTTACTTCTATCAAACATCCTGTCACACAAACATTAGTTTTATACATTTTACTCTTATAAATCGAAAATAATATAAATCAATTAATAGTATTTTCAATTAGCAGCTTTACAAAAAAAATAATTCTGGATATATATATATATATATATATATATATACATACATATATATACACATGTAGGAAAATCAGATTTTAAATTGACAAACTGCCATATCTTCTTTACACATAAATGCAAATAATATTAGTTATACTTATACAAAATTTATACTATAAATATATTTAAAATCAGTAATGCATTTAAATAATAAGTAAATGTATTTGTAATATACAATATTATGTTATTCGCATATTGACTTCAAAAAATTAAATAATTATTGAATACTTTTTTTTTCTAAAAACATTATGATTTAAAATATGTTTACAAAATATATATCATATTTTGAAAAAATATTCATTAAATATTTTAAATTAATTATATATGGATATGCATATAAATTTTTAGTCCATTTTTTAGTTTATTTTCATAAAAATCTTATATAAATGTATGTACTATGATTCAATATTAGATCATGCAGAGAGATAATTGTAGTTTTCAAACATATTTCTTTCTCCCTTTTTCTGCAAATGTATATTATATAATTTCTTTTTAACTATATACAGGGTGGTTCTCGTAACGGTCGCCACGATTTTTAAGGCACTTACAATAATCTGACATAAAAAAGTCATAAACAGAAATTTATCAGTTTCTAACCGGCAACAAATTGCAAGAATAAAAATTGACCAAACATTTTTTTGTATATGTTTTGTATATATAAAAGTGAACAAAAATTAATATATATATATATATATATATATATATATATATATATATATATATATATATATATATATATATATATATATATATATATATATATATATATATATATATATATATATATATATATATATATATATATATATATATATATATATATATATATATATATATATATATATATATATATATATATATATATATACAGGG